CGGCCTCCTAGATGCATGCATGTTGCTCAAAAGGACATGATTTTGTTGTCTTTCATGGCTGCATGGATTTCCAAGGTGCGTATGTATTATGTGTTCTTCATTCAATCCACTGCTCCTGGGCACTTAGTTTCATTCTGTGTCTGTTGAGAAATATTAAGTTTACTGTTGAGAAACATTAACTTTGCCTTGCCCGATGGCTCCCTTGTGGAGATTACATTTTAGTTTGCAATTAGTGGTAAGCAGGTAACAGCTGCCTACTTAGACTATTTCTGAGTTATAAGTAAATACAGAACACCAGTGTATTAATAACAATCACCTGTTAAGAGATTATAAATATGTGGATCAGAATCTGCTCAGGGCTTCCAGCCTGGCCTTCAGCCCCTAAGGCTCTCGGTTCAGTAGGCTGCTGGCCCTTTGTATAGACACACTTTGCTGTTCTATCTGGGTGTCTGCCTCCCATTGTCTTCAGCGCCACCTGGGTGGGGTCTCCCGGCCAAGCTTGTACTCAGTATGTGTCCTTGCTAATGAAAATAGCACTGCAATGAACATACAGGTCTATTTGATTGAATAAATTATTTTCCTTTAGGTATATCCCAGCAGTGGGATTGCTGGGTTGAATGATAGTTACATTTTATCTTCTTTGAGAAATCTGCAAACTCTTTTCCATAGTGGCTCAACTAGTTTGCTTTCCCAGCAAAAGTGTCTAAGTGATCCTTTTTCTCCTCAGCCTCAAGAACATCTGCCATTTTTGACTTTTTAAGAATTGCCATTTTGACTGGTTTGAGATGGTAGCTCACTGTGGTTTTGATGTGCATTTCTCTGATAATTATGATATTGAGAGTTAAATTCCTTGTAGATCCCGGATATCAGAGCTTTGCAGGATGCACAGTTTGCAGATATGTTTCTTTTGCTGTGCAGCAGTTCTTTATTTTAATGAGGTCCCATTTGTCAATTTTTGTTTTTAGTTGCAATTGGTCTTGGTGTCTTCATAATGAAATCTTTGCCAGGCCCTATATCCCGAGTGGTATATCCTAGGTTATCTTCCAGGATTTTTAGTTTTAGGATTAATCTTTAGTTCATGTTGAGTTATTTGACATATATGGTGAAAGGCAGGGGTTCGGTTTCATTCTCTGCACATGGCTAGAAATTTATTCCAGCATCATTTGTTCAATAGAGAGTCTTTCTCCATTGCTTATTTTTGTTGATTCCGTTGAAGGTGAGATGGCTGTAGGTGTGAAGGTTTCTTTCTGAGCTCTCTATTCTGTTCCATGGATCTAAGTATCTATTTTTGTGCCAGTACGATGCTGTTTTGATCACTATACCCTTATACTACAGTTTGAAGTTGAGCAAATGTGATGCCTCTGGTTTTGTTCTTTAGCTTATGATTGTTTGGGCTATTTGGGCTCTTTTAAAATTCCAAATAACTTTTAGATTAGATTTTTCTAATTCCTTGAAAAACGACATTGGTATTGATTGTGATAGTGTTGCATGTATAAATTGGTTTTGGAAGTACTGCCATTTTAGCCATATTGATTCTTCCAACTCATGAGCATGAAATATTTTCCCATGTATTTGTGTTGTCTCTGATTTTTTTCAGCCATGTTTTGTAGATTATCTGTTTCCACACAAAATCTAGCAGAATCACTCATTTATTATTCCATTCCATGGAGAAAAAAAATAAAATAACATTAATTTTCTACTGGATAGCCCAACAAAATTCCAAACTCAGTAGGTTTTTTGGGAAAGAAACTCCTTATTTAAATATTACTACAGGACAATCAGTTGCTAAAGGAAACAAACATTATAATTTTTTTCTTATTAAATAATTAATGAATTCTCTTTCAGGACATGGAAAGAATCCCAAGGGTCTGATTCTCAATGGGAAAGAATCCCATTAATATAATTTTTTTATTATTAAATAATTAAAGAATTCTTTTTCAGGACATGGAAAGAATCCCAAGGGTCTAAAGTCTAATATGATTATTTTACAGACAAAAATCACTTGAAAGAACAAGGTCAACATCCAAAGAACTACCTGATTTTCCAAATGAAAGCAGAAGAAAGAAAATGCTGACATATCTTGTTTAGTCAGCCAGCCAGAAACTTAAATGCAGGAATTCCATCAAGTAGCATCAAGAGAAAATAGCATAAGATGTTAGGAATAACCGCTCATAAAATTGTTGGCAAAAGGAATCCAGGCAGTGAGTGAGCAATTTGTTTCATGGTGTCATCATTATCTGCCAGAGGCTTTTCGACATACACAGTAGGTGGTGGGCAGGTGGCCAACCAGAAGGGTGAATTTGATTGAGACTGTGCTCACAGGGGCTTTTTGGTATCATCTTCAACCTTCAGAAAGGACACAAATGTTGGTATAAGAGGCGGAGGAGAACCCAGATCACTTTTCCAGGCAATCCTTAACTAATCACTCCACGTCTCAGGGCTGCCTGCACTGAGAGACCTGTTTTTCCCTTGAGCCCCAAACCTGGCACCTGCATCTTGGACCAACCTCCTCCTCCTTTGTCACATCACAGAGTCAGCCCAGGCCCTGCACCTGACCAAGGGTGGAGTAAAGGGGCCTGTGGGACTGAAGCTGGGAGTGATGGGCCTGCTCCTTCTCTCAAGGCCCCTCTACCATCTGATGAGAGGGCCTAAAACATGGCAAGGGGTTGGGGAGCCTGTCCAAAGACAGGGCTCTGTATTCCTGTGCCCTTGGCCTAGGGTGGGCCTGCAGGCAAACATCCCTCCTTCCCATTCTTCCTCAGCCTCTTCTCACAATGGGAGCAGCACCCGTAGCTCTGAAGGTGACAGTCCCTGTTCCACCTTCTTCATTCCTAGTCCAGCCCAGCGTGCCCATGGAACTCCAGCAGCAGCTCAGTTCCCCCGTGTCTGAGTCCACTCTGCTCCAGGCAGGGCCATCAGCCGACTCAGGATCTGGGATGCCCAGAAGGCAGGATGTCATGGAGCCACCTCAGGGCCCAGACTCAAACCCCATGGGTCCACGGTACTTGACTTTTTAAAAAACTTTCTCATGATCAGCTTCTACTTTTCACCTGTCACTTTCTGTGGGCAGGCAGCCCTGCACTCCCTCCTTTTGAATTAGGTATACCAAGGTCTCCCAGCCCCCTCCTCCTGGGATTAGACCCAGATCTTTCTCTTAGCCTCAGAGATGGAATCCCTCTTCCCTTGTCACACCTCATGTAAAGCTGCTATGATGCACCTAACCCAATTAAGAGGACTGCCCATGTCTAAATTCCCGCTGCCTGCAAGCCCCACACCCTTCCTGAATAGGAACCTGCTCTGAATCAGGCCTGAACTGGCTAAACCCTCTCAAGTTCAACAGGCCCTGAGCCTTGATATGGGCCCCTCCCTTTCCCTCTGGCCTCTGAAGGTGAGAATCCATCAGAACTCAGGGCAAAGCTGCCCAGGTCATTACCAATAAACGACACAAGGTCTCATTCACCTGTCTCATCACAGGATGGAAAGGTCTCAGCCATGGGGAGGGGTGGGACTGTGGGAATTCTCCTTTCTTGTTTTCCCACCTCACCCACCTGCTCCTTGGTCCCCTCCCAATTCTTCCCACAGTACCTGTCACTCCTCAGATGCCAGGCAGGATGAAACCAGCAAGCCCCTCACATTCACAATACAGCCCTCACAGCAAGCTCCAGAGGCCATGCATTTAGGTGGGGAAGTCAGAAAAGAAGCATTACACTTTCTGTGGGGTTGGCGGGTTTATTTAAAAATAATTCCTCAGTTGCCATGTAGGATGAAGCAGGGGAGGAAGATGAGGAGGCTCCAGGTGCTGAGGGTGGTGGCCCTGGCTTTGGGTTGGGCTGTGCCTGGCCTCATGGTGGGTGGAGCTGAAATGAAAACACAAGCCTCACAGCCCTTGACCAGACCCCAAATTAGAGGAGATGCCTCCTCAGCTCCTGCCACCCCAGGTCATCCTGCAAGGCAGAGGTTTTGTCCCACTCTGCTGGGGGCAGTGGCTGTGACAGGTCCTGAGGTAGGAAGGGAGAGGGGGTGTTCCCTGTCTTCAGGGAGCTCACACAGCTGCTGAGGGAAGCAAGGTGACAGCACAGCCCACTCTCCTGCTGTGGTGGAAGAGGAGGTGATGCCCCAGAGTGGGGAAGAGGAGGGTCTCAGGGCTGGCACTGGAGGTTGTTTTGATGGATTTCCAGAAATAGATCAGGGAGAGAAAAGGAAAAGTGATTCTATAAGGAAGGAACACTAACATAAAAAAATCTGGAAACACTATGACACCCACAGATTCGAGGCTGGTGAGAAATCCACAGTGGGTGGAAAAGAATTAAGTGCAGGGAGGAAGAGGAGTCAGGAGGGAGAAGGGAGAGGAGGATGGGAGAGCACAGGCACCCCCAGGAGGAGCCCCCAATGAGGGGGTCACGCTCACACTCACTCCAACAGTCTCACACACACACTCACACACCAGGCTGAGAAGATGAACTAAAGACAGCTGTATTTTTTTTCTTCTCACTTACTTGTTGGCTCCAGCATTTGTTTCCAGTATATTAAAAATTTTTCAAGCCACATCTTACAATACCCTGTTGAAATTTTCTGGAAGAATATGGTCACATCCCTGTTCTTCTCCCACTTCTCTTTCAACTGCCTGGCTCCAGGATGAAGCACTGTCCACTTTCTGTTGTTTGAGTCAAAGAGGAGAAATCTCTGTCCGTTGAAGATGAACTGCCAGCATCCTGTGCAGTATCCCTGGGCTTTGTGCTCACAAGACATCCGGGCCTGCAGGGTGAGGGGCTCTGCCCCATTGGAAAGAGATCAGCTCTAATCTTGACAAATCCTGAGCCCCACCCTGCTTCCTTTACTGTCTCCTGGACTTGCCCTCTCTGCTCCATCCTGCCCATACTCCTCGACTTCTTGGGTGACACAGACTTCTGATTGATTATTTCTATGAAACCAATAACTGCCTCCAAGTTACTACTATGTCTGCTCCCTCCTCTCCTGGGCCATTTTAAACTTACCACTGGGTATTACATTCTCCATTTGAATGTTGGGCAGTTGCTCTTTGAGGAAATCCACCACATCTCTTAGTGTTTCAGTCTGTTCTTCCCAGGTTTTGTCACATTGACTTTCTTTCCCAGGGAACCAAAGGCTTTGGCCTTATGGTTAACACAGTCATAGTGAAGAAAAGCCCTTTTATCCATCTTGCCTTGAACTTCATACCACTGTGGTTCAGATCTAAACTTAAGAGTGATGATGAAGTCATAGGAGAGACAGTGTGTGTCTGTGGAAGAAAAACACAAGAGAGGGTGGGGGTGGGGGGAAGTGGAACCTGAGATCCCTCTTCCCCAATATGGTGACTACAAGAGGAGGCCTTTGAGAGGCTGGGCTAGCAGAGGAAGATGTCCCCCAGCCAGGGCTGTCATGCCAACTAGTTAAATACTAGGGTGTCTCCCTTGCTTGTGTACATAGAGGGGAAGGTTCCTGCAGCCAAAAAACCACATGCCCCCCAAGACACTGGGCTCTGCCCACATCGGTCAGCACATGACCTTTTCATGGAGGTGCCAGGCCTGCTGTGGCAGGAAAAGGCCTGGATAAGGAGGACCCTCAGCAGCAGCCCTTGTGGACTGCGGGAGGTGGGAGGAGGTGCGGGGGCTGCCCTGAGATGCTCCAGCACAGTGGGTGGGGTGAGGACAAAATTCAATTCGGATACAGAATTGATTATTACCATGTGTCTCAGGATTTAACACACTGGGAAAGCCCCTGGCAATCATGCCCATCTGCAATGAGGATACATTTCTGGAACCTTGGAAAGGGATGATTCACAGGGCAAGAAGTCAAAAATCCACAACTTCTAAGTCAGGGTGTAGAGGAAAGAACCAAAAGGCTCAGAGAAGCGCCCACGCCAGAGTAGCCGCAGCATGAAAATCCAGAACATTGTCCATCCTTTGTGCTCATGGGGTGCCTGGAGGACTCCTGTTTACCCAGCATATAAAGAAGAGCCTGAGAGAAGACACCAGAATGGGAGGAAGCTCAGGGACGCCTGTTGCTGAAGGCCAGGGTTGGGGATAGAAGATGCTGTTCCTGAAATGGGCTCCCAGGAGTAATGGGATGAAAAATCCTGAAATAACAGATTTCAGGTGGAGACTGTCAACTCTCAGGAGCAAGGAGGGTACCACGATGGAGATGATTAAGGAAGTCACAATGCCAGCTGAGGACCTCAGCCACAGGGAGTTATGCCCATGACATAAAACAAGGGTGTCCAAGAGGCAAAATAGTTGGAGACTCAACCTGGTTACTCCAGGACTTTAACAACAATACATGAAGACAAACACAGCAATGAATAATTGGGAGATGAAAAGTGGACATTTCATTTAAAAATTGAGATAATTTGTTGAATTTCCTGCACTACGCCACTTCTTAGACTCAGAATCAATTGCTAGAAGCAGAATCCATGTTCCTATGAGGAAAAACCTATCAACCCCGCAGCAAGTGTGATGCTTCTTTTCCGACTTCCCCTCATAGATGCATGGCCCCTGGAGCTTGCTGTGAGGGCTGCACTGTGAATGTGAGGGGCTTGCTGGTGACACAGTTCCTGTTGTTACTGCTCAACTCTGCTGCTGCTGCTGCTGCTGCTGCATCTTGGTGACGGTCAAACCATGCGTGATGAATGTGGTTGCACCTATCACCAGAGTCCTAGGACACAGGACACTCTTAGATCCTAGAAGCCCCTGTGTTTAAAAAAAGTTTTCTGTGGAGCTAGGAGGTGGAGCAAGATGGCCATTTAGGAACAGCTCAGGATTGCAGCTCCCAGTGAAAGTGCAGAGGGTGAGTGGACGCCGCATTTCCAGATGGATCTTTATTGCCCACAGACCAGAGATTCCCAGGCGGAGGAGCCCCATGGGCCGCCAGTATGACTGTTTTGCTGGTGCCCCAGTGCAGCGGTTCTCCATACAAAAATACACTGATCTGGTGGCCCTTTTAAGCTGGCAACTGGAGCTGCAGGAAGGCAGATTAGCCCATTCATCTGATTAAACAGGGGTCTGAAACACGGAGCCAGGCCATCTCAGTGCCATTGTTTCAGCCAGTTCAGTGGGTCACCACACGGAAAATAACACAGATCCCAGCACCCTTTCAGCAGGCAACTTGAACACTTGGGAGAGAGTCAACCATTCAACTTAAAAAAAAAAAAAAAAAAAAAAAAAAACAGCAATTGGAAACACTCGGGGTTGAGAGTTTCACGGCAAGCACAGCTGACCATCCAGCTCTGTGGGGGAGGGGCGCCCGCCATTACCAAGGCACTCCACCCCTATGGAGGTATTCTGCCATTGTTGAGGCAGCCTGCCATTGCTGAGGCAACCTGCCATAACAGAGAGAGTCCGCCATTACAGAGGCGGGCCACCATTGCTGAGGCAGTTCTAACCACACCTGTATAAACAGGACTGCAGGGAAGTTCACATGGCAGCAGAGTGGAACCCACAGCAGCTCAGCAAAACCTCTGCAGGCAGACAGTGACTAGGCTGCCTCCTTGCTGGGCAGGGCAGTCCTGAAAAAAAAAAGGCAGCAGCACAAGGGAAACTCATAAATAAAGCCCTAACTCCCTGGGACAGAGCACCTGGGGAAAAAAAGGGGGTTATGAGTTCTGCTTCAGCAGACTTAAACGTACCTGCCTAGCAGCTCTGAATGAACAACAGAGCTCACAGCTCAGCACTTGAGTGCCTATAAAGGACAGACTGTCTCCTCAAGCAGCTCCCTGACCCCCATATATCCAAAGAGTCACCTCACAAAGGACTGATCAGACTGACATTTGGCGGGCATCATTCTGGGACAAAGATAGCAGAAGAAGAAACTGGTAGCAACCCTTACTGCAGGTGATCCCCAGGCAAGCAGGGCCTGGAGTGGACCTCAGTAGTCCTACAGCAGAGGGGCCAGACTGTTAGAAGGAAAACTAACAAATAGAAATAATGAAATCATCAACAATCTGGACATCCACTCAGAGACCCAATCTGAAAATCAGCAACTATAAAGACGACAGGTGGATAAATCCACAAAGATGAAAAGAAACCAGCGCAAAATGGAGGAAAACACCCGAAACCAGAAGACCTCTCCTCCTACAAGAGATCACAACTCCTCACCAGCAAGGGAACAAAACTGGATGGAGAATGAGTGTGATGAAATGACAGAATCAGACTTCAGAAGGTGGGTGATGAGAAACCTCTGTGAGCTAAAATAACATGTTCTAACTCAATGCAAAGAAACGAAGAAACTTGAAAAAAGATTTGATGAAATGATAACAAGAATGGACAACTTAGAGAGGAATATGAGTGAATTGATGGAGCTGAAAAACACAACACGAGAACTTCACAAAGCATGCACAAGTTTCAACAGCTGAATTGACCAAGCAGAAGAAAGGATATCAGAGGTCGAAGATCAACTCAATGAAATAAAATGAGAAGGCAAGATTAGAGAAAAAAGCACAAAAAAGAATGAACAAAGTCTCCAAGAAATATGGGACTATGTGAAAAGACCCAATCTATGTTTGATAGGTGTACCTAAATGTGACAAAGAGAATGAGTCCAAGCTGGAAAATACTCTTCAGGATATTATCCAGGAAAACTTCCCCCGCCTAGCAAAGTAAGCCAATACTCAAGTCCAGAAAATACAGAGAACACCACAAAGATATTCCTCAAGAAGAGCAACCCCAAGGCACATAATCGGCAGATTCACCAGGGTTGAAATGAAGGAGAAAATGCTAAGGGCAGCCAGAGAGAAAGGTCAGGTTACCCACAAAGGGAAGCCCATCAGACTCACAGCAGATCTCTCTGCAGAAACTCTACAAGCCAGAAGAGAGTGGGGGCCAATATTCAACATCCTTAACAAAAAGAACTTTCAACCCAGAATTTCATATCCAGCCAAACTAAGCTTCATAAGTGAAGGAAAAATAAAATCCTTTGCGAACAGGCAAGTACTCAGAGATTTTGTCACCACCAGGCCTGCTTTACAAGAGCTCCTGAAAGAGGCACTACACATAGAAAGGAACAACCAGTACCAGCCACTCCAGAAACATACCAAATGGTAAAGAGCATCAACAAAATGAAGAATCTGCATCAACTAACAGGAAAAACAGCCAGCTAGCATCAAAATGGCAATATCAAATTCACATATAACAATATTAACCCTAAATGTAAATGGGCTAAATGCACCAATCAAAAGACACAGACTGTAAAATTGGGTAAAAAGCTAAAACCTATCGGTAGGCTATATCCAGGAAACCCATCTCACATGCAAGGATACACAAAGGCTCAAAATAAAGAGATGGAGGAAGATTTACCAAGCAAATGGAAAGCAAAAAAAAAGCAGGAGTTGCAATTCTTGTCTCTGATAAAATAGACTTCAAAGCCACAAAGATCAAAAGAGACAAAGAAGGACATTACATAATGGTAAAAGGATTGATACAACAAGAAGAGCTAACGATCCTAAATATATATGGACCCAATATAGGAGCACCCAGATACATAAGGCAACTTCTTAATGACTTACAAAGAGACTTAGACTCCCACACAATAATAGTGGGAGACTTTAACACTCCACTATCAGTATTAGACAGATCAACCAGACAGAAAATTAACAAGGATATCCAGGACTTGAACTCAGACCTGGAACAAGCAAACCTGATAGACATTTACAGAACTCTCCACCCCAAAGCCACAGAATATACATTCTTCTCAGCACCACATCACACCTAATCTAAAATTGACCACATAATTGGAAGTAAATCACTCCTCAGCAAATGCAAAAGAACGAAAATCATAAAAAACAGTCTCTCAGACCACAGTGCAATCAAGTTAGAACTCAGAATTCAAAAACTAACCTAGAACCTCACAGCTTCATGGAAAGTGAACAACTGGCTCTTGAATGTTGACTGGATAAACAATGAAATGAAGGCAGAAATAAAGAAGTTCTTCGAAACCAGTGAGAACAAAGACACAACATACCAGAATCTCTGGGACACATTTAAAGCAGTCTCTAGAAGAAAATACATAGCAATAAGTGCCCACATGAGAAGAGTGGAGAGATCCAAAATTGACACCTTATCATCAAAATTGAAAGAGCTAGAGGAGGAAGATCAAAAAAACTCAAAGCCTAGCAGAAGACAAGAAATAACTAAGATCAGAGCAGAACTGAAGGAGATAGAGACACAAAAAACCCTTCAAAAAATCAATAAATCCAGGAGCTGGTTTCTTGAAAAGATCAACAAAATAGACAGACCACCAGCCAGATTAATAAAAAAGAAAAGAGAGAATAACCAAATAGATGCCATAAAAAATGATAAAGGGGAAATCACCACAGATCCCAAAGAAATTCAAACCATCATCAGAGAATATTACAAATAACTCTATGCACATAAACTAGTAAACCTGGAAGAAATGGACAAATTCCTGGACACTTACATCCTCCCAAGCCTAAACCAGGAAGAAGTCGAAACCATGAATAGACCAATAACAAGATCTGAAGTTGAGGCAGCAATTAAGAGCCTACCACACAAAAAAAGCCCAGGTCCAGATGGGTTCACAGCAAAATTCTACCAGACACACAAAGAGGAGCTGGTACTATTCCTTCTGAAACTATTCTAAATAATCCGAAAAAAGGGAATCCTTCCCAAATCATTTTATGAGACCAACATCCTCCTGATACCAAAACCCGGCAGAGACTCAACAAGAAAAGAAAACTTCAGGCCAATATCCATGATGAACATAGATGCAAAAATATTTAATAAAATACTGGCAAGCCAATTGCAACAGCACATCAAAAAGCTTATCCATCATGATCAAGTAGGATTCATCCCAGAGATGCAAGGCTGGTTCAACATATGCAAGTCTATCAACGTAATTCACCACATAAACAGAACCAAAAACAAAAACCACATGATTATCTCAATTGAGGCAGAGAAGGCCTTTGACACAATTCAACAGCCCTTTATGCTAAAAACCCTCAATAAACTCGGTATTGACGGAACGTATCTCAAAATAATAAAAGCTATTTATGACAAACCAACAGCCAGTATCATACTGAATGGGCAAAAACTGGAAGCATTCCCTTTGAAATCTGGCACTAGACAAGGATGCCCTCTCTCACCACTCCTATTCAATATAGTACTGGAAGTTCTAGCCAGAGCAATCAGGCAAGAAAATGAAATAAAGGGTATTCAAATAGGAAAGGAGGAAGCCAAATTGTCTCTATTTGCAGACGACATGATAGTATATCTAGAAGACCCCATTACCTCAGCCCAAAAACCCCTGAAACTGATAAGCAACTTCAGCAAAGTCTCAGGATACAAAATCAATGTGCAAAAATCACAAGCATTCCTATACACCAATAACAGACTTAAAGAGAGCCAAATCAGGAACGAACTGCCATTCACAATTGCTACAAAGAGAATAAAATACCTAGGAATACAACTCACAAGGAACGTAAGAGACCTCTTCAAGGAGAACTACAAACCACTGCTCAACGAAATAAGAGAGGATACAAACAGATGGAAAAACATTCCATGTTCATGGTTAGGAAGAATCAATATTGTGAAAATGGCCATACTGCCAAAAGTAATTTACAGATTCAACACTATCCCCATCAAGCTACCAATGACCTTCTTCACAGAACTGGAGAAAATCACCTTAAACTTCATATGGAACCAAAAGAGATCCCGCATAGCCAAGTCCATTCTAAGCAAAAAGAACATGGCATCACACTACCAGACTATATGACAAGGCTACAGTAATCAAAACAGCATGGTACTGGTACCAAAACAGAGATGTAGACCAAAGGAACAGAACAGAGGCATCGGAGGCAACACAACATATCTACAACCATACAATCTTTGATAAACCTGACAAAAACAGGCAATGGGGAAAGGATTCCCTGTTTAATAAATGGTGTTGGGAAAACTGGCTAGCTATGTGCAGAAAGCAGAAACTGGACCCCTTCCTGACACCTTACACTAAAATTAACTCCAGATGGATTAAAGACTTAAACGTAAGACCTAACACCATAAAAACCCGAGAAGAAAATCTAGGCAAAACCATTCAGGACAGAGGAGTAGTCAAGGACTTCATGACCAAAACACCAAAAGCATTGGCAACGAAAGCTAAAATAGACAAATGAAACCTAATCAAACTCCACAGCTTCTGCACGACAAAAGAAACAGTCATTAGAGTAAATTGGCAACCAAGAGAATGGGAAAAAAATTTTGCACTTTACCCATCTGACAAAGGGCTGATATCCAGAATTTACAAAGAACTCAAACAGATTTACAAGAAAAAAACAAAGAAGTCCATTCAAAAGTGGGCAAAGGATATGAACAGACACTTTACAAAAGAAGACATACATGAGGCCAAAAAACATATGAAAAAATGCTCATCACTGGTCATTAGAGAAATGCAAATCAAAACTACTTTGAGATACCATCTCATGCCAGTTAGAATGGTGATCATTTAAAAAATCTGGAGACAACAGATGCTAGAGAGGATATGGAGAAATAGGAACACTTTTACACTGCTGGTGGGAGTGTAAATTAGTTCAACCATTGTGGAAGACAGTGTGGTGATTCCTCAAGGACCTAGAAATAGAAATTCCATTTGACCCAGCAATCCCATTACTGGGTATATATCCAAAGGACTATAAATCATTCTACTATAAGGACACATGCACGCGAATGTTCATTGCAGCACTGTTTACAATAACAATGACATGGAACCAACCCAAATGCCTATCGATGATAGACTGGACAGGGAAAATGTGGCATATATACACCATGGAATATTATGCAGCAATCAAAAACGATGAGTTTGTGCCCTTTGTAGGGACATGGATGAATCTGGAGAACATCATTGTCAGCAAACTGACACAAGAACAGAAAATGAAATACTGCATGTTCTCATTCAGAGGCGGGTGTTGAACAATGTGAACACATGGACACAGGGAGGGGAGCACTACACACTGGGGTTGGTTGGGGGGAACGGGAGGGACAGCGGTGGGTGGAGAGTTGGGGAGAGATAGTATGGGGAGAAATGCCAGATATAGGTGAAGGGGAGGAAGGTAGAAAATCACACTGCCACATGTGTACCTATGCAACTATCTTGCATGTTCTTCACATGTACCCCAAAACCTAAAATGCGCTTTAAAAAAATACAAAAAAAAGGGGGATGTTAGCTAATTAATTCAGTTTGCTGGATACCAGTGAGTGTATCATCTTCATATCTGGCCACTGTAACAGGCTACATTATAATAAAAAAAAAAGTTTTATGTGAAGTTCATGGCAGTTCCTAACTGGAGAATCCTGGTGCCCAGAAGCAAGGTTGTGCCACTTGGAGCAGTGAAATAAATCCCACCATTTAAAAGCAGTTCCTGTGTAGTTCTGGGCCCTGGCAGAGATGGGGTCTCCAGCAACAGAAGGGCAGTGACCACACAGCCTCAGAGCTGCCATCACAGGGTGTGCTCCTCACCCTGTAGGTCATTAGGAAGGTAGGCCTGGCTGAGAAGATGCAGGTGGTTCTCCTGGGATGGACAGGAGCAGGGCCACAGGGAACCAAGAAGCTGCACAAGCAGTTGGTCCCAATGCCCAGGACACCACATGGCTGTACCCCCTCACCCTCAGCTCACACTTGAGGCTTCAGGGAGGGTCCCTGGTGGACCCTGTGGACCATAGATGCTACTCAGCAGCAAAGGAGGGGAGAGTAGACCCTGAACCATGGGACCCCCACTCCCTTAACAACCATACCACCCAGACGCCACAGGGAGAATAGGACCCACTTCTGACTCTTGAAGTCATACCTGGACACTGCTTGGAGATGGCATTCTAGGGATCTGGGCCCCAATCACTGGGACACTGTAATCTCATGGAGGCACATCAACAAAGGACAGTGGCCAAATCTGGTCCCCCTTCATTTACAGGTTGCCATTGTCTGCTGTTCCTCTACAAAGGGACAGGACTGGACACAGAGACAGAGAACCCCGAAAGACCAAAGTGTCTCCTGACTTCTTTTTCTAGAAAGGCTTTGCTGACTCCTGTCTGCATGTGGCAGGCCAATTCCCCCTGACAGTCACACAGACAGGCCTGCACGACACTCCAGTTACACAGAGAGATTTCCACAGCAGTGCCTTAACACTCAGTTTAAGTAAACCCAGGAAATTGGTGCCCAGACATCAAAGCTAAAAATGAAATATGTGGTCAATAGGAGCCTTGCATGGGCTTCTCCCTAACCTGGAGCAAGCCAAAACAATAGAGACAGTCTTCATTCCTAGTGCCAGGACCTGTATCTGAGACAAGTCAAGGTAGCAGGGGCAGTTGTTTGAATAGCTTCATTGGAGAGTCTAAGGCAGCTCTCCTGACCAAGCTGTAAAGGAGATAAGATAGAAATAATCACCCTGGCACAACAGCAGACAGGCGATGAAGGTACTGGGGCCCTTTTAATTGGACTTAGTGAGCATTTTTGCCTCTGACCTTCTAGGTGAAATAAAATTAGTTCCCAATAGACCTAGGCGAAAGCTACACTGTACATAGGCACATAACCCCAACCTATGTAAGCACTAAGAAAATGGTAACACTTTCAGCTGGTCTGGTGGAATTACCTCCGTCTTCTCCCTCTATCTGGTTACAGCAATAAATTCCCCTCTTTCCTAGTTTGTCTGCTTCTCATTATTTGTCCTTGGGAAAAGGCAGCCAGACAGGTTTGGCTGCAGGAACATGCACAGTGTTCTCTATGAGGCTGTCTCCCCAGGAGGAATCAGGTGGCTCTGGGATCCAAGGGCAGAAGTGGGCACCTCTACTCACCAGGGTTCCCAGGGTCATCATGGGGGACATGGTGTGTCCCATTTCCCCTGCACAGGTTCTGTGGGGAGTTAGGTGTGTGTTTGCTGGGTGTGTCCTTGGGCAAAGGGAAGAAGGTGCCAGTTGGTGGGGGAGGAGGTGAGGGAGTCCTGTGGGGTGACAGGGCTGGGCTGAGATGGGGAGTGAGAGGATGTGACTTGGGAGGTGGCAGTGGATGTGAGGGGAGGAGTGGGAAGTGTCTGCTGAGCCCCTGGGTTCAGGTGAGTGTCTGCAGGAAAGCGCAGGGGAAAAGGGCAGGAGCCCTGGGAGGGCTGGAGGGTTTGTGTGGAAAGCGGGTGAGAGCAGAGCACCTGCTCCGCTAGGTGGTCGCGTTTCCTGGCCCCTAGAGCGGGGACCGCCAACCAGGCTGCCTCCTCTCGTCCGCAGCGGGAAGGTCCGGCGCCCTTGCTCTTGGCGTTGAACCGAGGCCTGTGCTTGTGTCGGGGTCGTAGCGCAGGTGCGGGGCGCGGAGCCGCTTGGCCTCCTCCACGAAGGGCCGCTATTAGTCCCTGCCCGGCAGCTTCCACGCGCGCCCAGGCGCTTTGAGATCTCCGAGTTGTGCAACGTAGGGTTCTGCGACGTCATCTGGAGGCGCTGAGCGGAGCTCCACACCATGAACCCGTTTATCTCCAGGGGCTGCGCCCCAGGAGCGGCGGGGCTTCCAGCTCCCTTCCCCTCCTGGGGTCCGGAAAAGGACGAGGCAGCAGCCGCGGGAGCTGGAGGCTCCAGGCTCCAAGCCTGGTCCTGTGAGAAGCTCAGTAAGGCCATGGGTCAGGAGACGCCTTAATAGGGCGTCCTGAATGCCCTCCTCTCAACAGGAAACGTCGATCCTGAAAATGGGAGGGTCTTCCCAGTCTGGAGTCGTTTCCGAGGAACTTGGGTCCTAAAAAGTATATTTCATCCCTAAACCCAGCGCTTCAACTGGAGCCTTTGCTTCCAAACAGTTGCCTGTTGCCCAGGCGCTTTAGCCTGGGCAACAGAGAACCTGTCTTAAAGAAAACAGCAGAAATAACAACAACAATTTAAAACTCAGTAAGTTAAATTGACAGAATAATTATGGGACCCAAAAAGCCAAGTAATGCAACTTTTCACATTCGATGAATTAGAGGGCTTGCTGAGTGTTCGTATTCTCAGAAGCTTCCATCTCATGAAATCTAATTTCCTCTGGTGAATCCACTCCTTAGTCCAGGTCCTCTGAGGAGCAGGTGTCTCCATGGGATTTACAGGATGGATTTCATTGGTGGAAACCCCGGGAGAACCATTCAGCGGGATGCAGTTCTGACACCAAGTGCAGGAGGAAGGGACAGGAGGGGGGCGCAGGTGCATCCTACACTACAGTGAATGGTGCTGGGATCACCGGGTGCCGCATGCAGAAGAATGAGGCGGACCCTTCCTTCCAGCACACACAGAAACTAGCTCTAGATGAATGGCAGATGTCCACCTAACACATGAGACTGTGAAAGTCTCAGAAGAAAATAGAGCAGTCGGCTGGGCGCGGTGGCTCAAGCCTGTAATCCCAGCACTTTGGGAGGCCGAGGCGGGTGGATCACAAGGTCAACAGATCGAGACCATCTTGGTCAACATGGTGAAACCCCGTCTCTACTAAAATTACAAAAAATTAGCTGGGCACGGTGGTGCGTGCCTGTAATCCCAGCTGCTCAGGAGGCTGAGGCAGGAGAATTGCCTGAACCCAGGAGGCAGAGGTTGCAGTGAGCCGAGATCGCACCATTGCACTCCAGCCTGGGTAACAAGAGCGAAACTCCGTCTCAAAAAAAAAAAAGAAAAGAAAAAGAAAATAGAGCAGTCAATTTTTGTGTGTTTTTGGAATGTAAATCTTTTATTAAAACAGTTGTCTTTCCACAGTCGTAAAGCTTTGGCATGTACAGTATAAAAAGTAATCACCAACCGTAATTATACCACATTCCTCTTATCAACTGCATACTAAGTGTTTTCAATACAGTTTTTCCATATAAAAATACGGGGACAAGTTGATGAATAACAGGTAAGAGAAAGGTATTTCTAGGCAATTACTAGGATCATTTGGAAAAAGTGAGTACTGTGGATATTTAAAATATCACTGTAACAAGGACATGCTGTTCCTGCAGTATCGCAGGCCAGACACTGAAGTGAAATGTTTGAGTAACTTTCCTGCTTAAAATTTTGGTCATATCATTTCAATACATTTTGCATCTTGGTTGGCTGCATATCTTTCCTATTGATCCCAAACCAAATCGCAAGTTAGAATCACTTCATTTACAATACTGAGCTGCATTGGCACTGAATACTTTGAAGCAGAACAGGCAGTGTGCAGCTCCCATTCGTAAGAAGACTCTTGGGACACTCCCAGGGTGATGCTTGGAGAAGCTGTGAGTTGAGCTGAAGCTGGAGAACTCCCTCCAAAGCAAAGGGCTTAGGAACGACGAGGACTCTAAGATGGGTCTGCTAGCATCACTCCAGTTTCAATGGATCTTGGCAGAGAGACAAGCTTGTTCCTCTGGGTTGGAAAGATTTACTCTCGGGAATCTTCTCTATCAGCCTATACATCTAAAGGCATGAAGCACCCAACTGGGCAATTAGCATAAGTCTTTGTTCTCTGCTGGTATCTCAGAATACTGGTTGTAGGAGTGGCCAGTGGAGCCTTCAGACCGGGTTTCCCCGCCCCTCATTTTGTGGCAGTTGTCACAGCGCCAGTCCCGCTGACCTCCAAAGCATGTGCAGAGGCAAATGGCACGGAGATATTCCTTCCAGCAGTAAATCTTTGTGACCCCAGATTTGGCAAATGCTTCTTAAGTACTATATGCCAATAATGCAAAGGTCAAAATAAAAGGTCGTTTAATTTCATTTCATGCAAATGTAAAACTTCTGTGCTTCAAAAAGGACTCCATTTAGAAGGTAAAAACAATTTAAAACTGGAGAAAATATTTGAAAATCATATATCTAGTAAGGGACTGGTATCCTGAATATGCAAAGAACTCTTGCCACTCAATATTATAAAGCAAAATAACCCAATTTAAATATATGCAAAGACTTTGAGTAGCGACTTCTCTAAAGTGAGACAAGCATACTACAGGCTGATCGCAAAAGAAGAGAAAGTTTTAGGCAGCAGTTTCAGGTGAGCAGCAAAAGGAATCTGAAGAGAATATCTGAAGAGGCTCTGGGCTAAGACCCCAGAAGACAGCATTGATCAAGCCGGCTAAGAATGAGTGGACCGAACAGGGCCCTGGATTTGACCTCGGTTTCCCCTAAGACCTCATTATACACTCATTAACATACTAAACACACACACACCGGCATCCTGGCAATTCTGAGACCACCCATACTTGCTGTAAAAATGGGTGGCACCAGAGTTCTGAGAAATCTCCACCTTCTTCCAGGAATTTTCATGAATATTCCACTCCTTGGTTGAAGACACCCAGAAAGGCAGCAGCCCCAACCCCGTGCACCTGCCTCTCTCCTGAGTTCCCCTGCACTTTTACTTGAGTATGTACTTTTTCTTTTACAATAAATCTTTGTCTTTTCTCTATTTTCCTACTAGTCCTTGAATTGATTTTCCCAGGGGATGTCAAGGACCACATACCGGCTGGGGTGGAGGTCTCATCAGCGTTTCGGGACCCCCCCTTGCCCACTGGCATCAGAAGAGGAATGCAAACGTCAGTGAGCCCAGGAAAATGCGCTCAGTGTCCACAGCCCTCAGGGAAATGCCAATCGCACCCTCAGGGGACGCCTCACGCCCCTGGGATGGCCGACCCCAAACAGTGAGGGTGGAGGGGCTGTGGCCTGCATTACTTACAGGGCAGAGAGCTGGAGACAGAGAGTCGGTGGTGTGTGGGGGCTGGTGTGCCTGTCACTCTCTCCCCATTTTCTTGGGGAAGGTTCTCCCGGTTCTCAGGCCCTACCTGCTGCCTTCCACTCCCTTTCTCCCGCCCTCTGCCTGATCCTTCTTTTCTACCCATTTCAAGGTCTTCTCTGCCTCACGACGTCCGTGTTCAGTGCCCCGAGCCCAGCGGAGAAACAGGGGCCCTGGACTGCAAGCGGCGGGATCCGGGAGGCAACACCGGGAAGCCCCTGTTGGACCCTGGACACTCAGGAGCTAGTGCGTCCTGGCGCCCTCCTGCAGCAGCCACAGGGGTAGGAGGATGGTGAGGGGGGTCCTGGGGCCGGGGGGGAACCACAGTCAGAGCCCCAAGGATCTGAGCGGGAAGGTGACGCCTCCACACTGAACCGGTGCAAAGTCCTTGCGAGGATGAAGGAAGAACCTCGTGCTCCTCATCCCACCAGGCCCCGCAGTTTCTGAATCCTTCTGACATGGGAACCGCCTGTCCCTTGCCACGATTGCGGAGTCCTCCCAGGTCTTCCAAAGGCCGTTTTGCCCGGAGGCTGTGGACCCGGAGACATCGGCTGGCAGTGGCACACCCGCTCCGGGGTCTCCACCCTGCAGGACCTGGATCCGGAGCTCGAGCACAGCGGGCGCTCTGGGAGGAACCGGCAGAACCAGGAGTGGACCCAGCGGGTGGAAACTGAAACCGCCAAGAGAGAACTTTCCCGAAACTCATCTGTGGTTGAAATCAGCAATCACTTGTAATATCCCCCCTACGAAAACAGCGTTGGGTAAATATCTAGAACCAGTGCCTGGTCGCATCCCTGCACGCCCCTGTGCAGGTTCCGCATCCCCGGATCCTCGTGGCCCCTAAGGAATCTGGAGGGCCCACCGGGTGACAGTTTCCGGGGGTCCCAGCCCCACTCTTCCTTACTTCTTCACCTCCATATATTCACCTATTTCAGGATCATGTGTGAAAGGCTCCCCCGCCCCTGCCTGCGTCCATTCTCATTGGCCACACCCCCAAAACAAAACTTTATTGGATTCTTCTCAAGTTTTCAGGGAGTGTTTATGTCACTTCAAACGCATATGAATACATATTCTGAATTCAGACTTGAATAGTTTTGACTTTTATAAGCCCTGTCACCCTGTCCTTCAGGAAGCCTGTACCAGTTTCCCTCCCTCTACAGTGGATGTTTCACCATCCTCTGCCCAAGCTGGGTCTTCACAATCACAGACAAGAGTGTAGCCAGCATTGCCATCCCGTGACATGAGACGCTTTAAAGGTGCATTCATTTGCACAGCAATCCTGTGACTGGAAATTTCTTCTACACAATTGAATTGGGATTCGTGCAGGCAGTTTCTGCAGCATTTGGTTTCTGTAAAAGTAACTGACTGGGGACCATCTGGATCTTCATCCATAGACACTGGTTACCTTTGTTGTGACGCAGTCATTCTATGCAATGTCAGGCAGAGATAGAAAGGGAAAGAATCTGTACGTGCGGATCTGGGAAGATCTTCAAAGTGTGTTATTTTGAGATAGACTCTGCATGCAGTAGAGTGCCAATGGGCTTATATTTGTCTTAAAAGCCAGCATTAATGCGTACACACATCTCTACTATTAGTAAGGAAATCAGTGTTGCCATAACTTACTGCTACTGTGTTTGTCCATGTTAGGAAAAATAAATGTAGTTGAAAAGCCGTGGTGGCAGGAATTGGTCATCACCGGCCCAGATGCCACACTGCCCTACACATCATCCCAGCTGAGGCTGCCGGAGGAACATGATGTGGAATGTCACATTTCAGAGAGGAACCTAAAGTCAAACTGGACCAGAAGTCTTGCCAGGACCTCTGCCTTTTCACCCAACCCCACCTAGTCAGGTAGTGACCCTGGCGGGGCTAGGACAATGCTGGAAGGGCAGTGAAGATGGGGAGCCCATGGTGGGAGCATGGCAAACATGGAGAGCCCGGACCCCACAGCAGCTGTCTAAGGAGGAGCTGTGTGATGCTGGGAGCACTGGGAAGGCAGGGAGCCTGGGCGCAGCACTCACTGCTCCTCCCATCTGGGACAGGATTCTGGTGGATGATAAGAAAAGTTTC